TAAGGAAAACATTTCTATTTTTCCCCTAACACTTCTGGAAGAATTCTGAAGGATTACCAACTTGAAAAAAAAGCTCTGTATAGCTTTGAAAGCTTCAGCATTGAATAAACAAGTCATAAAAGTCTCAGTTTGCTGTCAGTAATCAATTCACATTTGTCAGAGTGCTAATATGTAACAAAACTCACTTCCAATATCTAAGATTGTATTGATATGGACCAAGACATGACAGCTTGCCTAGAGATTATTTGAAAGTAAAATTAAAGGACTTTTCACAAAGAACATTATAAGCATTCATGAAGGTGATGATAAATATTAAATTAGACAAAATAAGGTCTATATACCTATACATTAGAAGCTTTTAAATACTTCATAATTTAAAATAGATAGTCATACTTTTCTTTGAACGGAATGGTTTGTCTTTAAAGCTTATAAAAATAAGGAAATTAAAGCATCAAGTTTGATTATGTGGTTACATGAATATTTAAAATATCAAACAAGTAAACATAAAAATGCATAAGGGCTACTGTTGGATTGAATATGCAGAATAATCGTTTCTGAAATAACTGCATTTAATACAATTGTTAACAGTAGATTTTTAAAACATACATATACACATAGTTATATGGGCAATAAACCTGGAATTTCTTCTGATATTTGTACTACATTTTCCTACAGATCCTATTTTAAAGTAATACTATAGTTTTGCTTCAGTGACTGGGAAAGCTGATAGCTGTAGCACATTTAAGTTGGGTAAGGTTCATTTAGACTACATAAGGATTCAGAAATTAACAGTTGCATATTTTTTATATTCATAAAATATTCTGGTATGTGTAAGCATCTTGCAAAAACAGGGTATTTATACTGAATTTCACTGTACAAAAACAAACATATAAAACTTAACAGTATATGTATTAAGAGAATATAATCACTTTGGATTATATATTACTGAGTTTATAATCTGAATTTCCACTGTCCAATAAAGCAATTACTTTAAACTGTCTCTTTGAATAAGGCCTACATTCAAATTCAATGTAGCTATCTTATTTCCATATTTTTTTAAACTTTTCCATATCTTTACCCTTTTCACTGGCTTGGAAGAACAAAAGATAGCAAAGGACCATAACTGCACTAAATAAAATTGTATTGTCCAAACTTCAAAACAGAGCTCATGCTACCAACCTTGACTCCTATTAGGTGGGCCCTATTGAAATCATTAAAATCAGTTGTAAGTTTTTGCTGTTTCAGGCATAGGAACAGGAGATCCCATTCATAGTGGAGGTGAGCAAGCAAAATTTGCTATACCTTTATGCATTAAGAAACAAAAAAACGGAGGAAAAAATTTTGCATTGTGCAAGCTCAAGGTTGTTGGCCAGATAATTGCACAGATGTTGGCTGCTAATGTCAACAGAAGCAACATTTTATCTGTGACCATGGCTTGCTAAGCCTGGTTACAGCACATCCTCCCTGCCTTCAGGTATGCAAAAATATGGGTGAAAATTAATTTCCCTTGTGTCAATGTGCCTAACAAGCCACATTCTTCATGGATAAACATAACACAATAATTTCTTCTGCTCATGCAAAATCAGCTACCTGCACAAGGACTTAACAGGCATATGTAGGTACATGTAGATTCAATAAATGTTTAACATGCTAAAAATTGACTTAAGACTCTGATCATAATATTTATGTCTGATTATCAACTTATATGAAGTTTTATTTGATCACAGCTTAATGACAGTACACAAGCTTTTCATTTACAAAGTCCCAGGTTTAAATTGTACCTTGAGAAAGGCCCTTGTCTGAAACCCCGGAAAGTTGTTCCAGGAAATGTCAATCATAATACCGAGTTACATGGATAAATAGTCTGACTCAGAATAATGCAACTTCATATGTTCCTATATATTATTTTATTAACGTAGTTCATCACATCCTGCATAACAAATTATGTGAGACTGATACTAATATAGGCAAATTCTCAACAAAATCATATATTCTAGTGAACGATTACTGCTTATGTGAATTGTCTTATTTCCTGGGAAGCCTACATTTTATTATACGCCATTTCTTAATGTGTAACGATACAGTATTTCAGATAAATTGTATAAAAATGTAATGTACATACGAAGGACAGAGATATTGCTTCTTTTTCCCTTTTCCTTTCTTTGAAGATTTCTCTTTGGAACAGACCTCTTCAACATATAAGGAGAAAAAAGCAACCACAACAATTGCCAGTAAAAACTTCATTGTGGGGACTTGAAGCCCAGAATAAAAGTTGATCTGTGATAGATAAGAAAGAACAGAAATGTAATTTAATGAGGTTCAGTGAAGAAATAGGATATACTTCATACAGGAAGCAAACACTATTAAACATTGTAGATACAAATGATTATACTCTAATGATCAGCTACTAGATCATTAATTTGGCTCTTCTATGATTGAAAGCTAAAATGGACATATATGACAGCTGGTTTGGTGTAGTAGTTAAGGCATCAGGCTAGAAAGCAGGGGTCTCTGAGTTCTAGTCCTGCCTGAGCACAAAGCCAGCTGGATGACCTTAGGCCAGTCACTCTCTCTCAACCCTAGGAGGCAGGTTATGGCAAACCACATCCAACAACCTTGCCAAGAAAACTGCAGGGATTAGTCCAGGTAGTTGCCAGGAGTCAAAAACTGACTCAAAGGCACATGCACATACACACACACACACACACATACACAAAAGGTGTACATTTTAAAGCTCACTGAAGCTATTTTAGATTGTGGTCACTATGTTTTAATTGTCATCACAAACATTGCAACATACAGTCATCCTTGATTAATAAAACATAGAGTTACATTACAGAAAAATCTTTATCTTCCAAAGGAAGCTACAGGCATGCAGATCCACCTGCAGAAACTTCCCGAATACTAAATATTGTAATCAGTCATGGAGTCTTTGATATATAATAATTGTATTTTCGTATTATGCTATTTATAAGGTATAACAAATGAGTTTCAGGCCCTATTTAGAATTTTATTCTCCTATAGTTTTATTAATATCAACAGAAAGTTTTACTAAGTAGTATATTCATTCCCACTAGAATGTTCATAGCTTTTTTTTTATTACAGTGAATATTCTTACCTGAATTATCAATTACCTTGTGTTTAACATTCTAATTACAAATGGAAATAATAATGATAGGTGTCTATCATAAAAGTTGTTTTATTATTACATGCTATTTGCATGACACTTATTGAATATTCTGTCTCAATGTAGCTAAACAAGGAGCAGCATAATTGTTTATACTTAATACAAACATTGCTTGCTGACTCCCAGCTGCAGTGACTGGGGAAAAAAACCCTCTGCATTTATGATCTTCATCCAGCCTTAGCTCTCTTGAGCAAGTGACTGAGTGTTATAATATGAGCTGCGTATCTCTCTTTCTCCATCCTTCTTTCTCCTTCTTACTCTGAATGCAGAGGCTGGATATTTATATCCCTTCCACCACAGTAACAAAATTCTTGTCTTCCTTCCACAGCCAACAGAAGAAGCATCTTCTTCTTCCCACAGCAACAGTGGTGGGGACTGCAGTCCAATTATGAGGCATGGGGTTCTCTGTACTCTCCACAAGCACATTCAGGCTTTGACCAAGGACGTGCTGCAGCAGTGGTAGAGATGGTGGTGGTAGCCTCTCATCCCTCCAGTGACAACAAGGTCTCCCTGACACCTTGTCCTGCATTCACTATAGAGGGATCTTTGTGACCTTTCTCAAGTTATCAAGCGTCACCAAATATTACTGAGGTAAACACACACACACACACTTTACGGTATCTTCACACAGAAGATCTGCAGAAGAACTTTAACAGATTTCAAGGCACAGAAATAGCCTCTTGTATTGGTGGATGCATCTCTAACACTACTTTTTTTCTTTTTTCTTTAAAAAAAACACACACTTTAATGATTGCCTGGGCCACCTTAGCAACAGATGTCACTTGCTTTTTCTCCCACCAAGCAGCAATACTGTAAGGTCCATTGCTTGCCCTTCCTGCTCCTTATCGAACCAATAAGGCCTCTAAGCACCGTTTGTCTCCCTCCAAATACTCCGTCGGAACAGAGCAGCGAACCTGTCTTTTTAGACACAGACCCTCACATTCGCGCCCTACAGCTTTTCCTCTGTTTTGCTGCCCGCCCGCCCCCACCCCCCGGGGGAAACGTCTCCCACCCCGCAGTTTCCTCCCTCCCTCCCCTTGGCGTCTCAGCACCAGCAGTAGCGCCTGGGGATCCCGCCGTCCCCAAATTCCTTCCCAACGTGGCTGAGAGCGGGCCACGGAGCTTGTCAGCGAGGAAGGCTAGCATGCCGCCAGAAGCTTCAGACTGCTGGCCGAGGTACTGAACGGAGGTACTTCTGGAAGAGAGAGGACGGAGCAGAGAGACGCCGGTCGCCCGCCTCTGCAGAGCGGACAGATGCTGCGCCAGCCCGGGATCTCACGGGAAGGGCTCAGCTTCTGGGCATGGTCCAGGTCCCGTCCGCGTCTGTGCCGAAGTCCCCTTCCCTTCCTAAACGATGCGCATGGATAAAGATAAACTCCTGGCTGAGCGATACGGCCTTCGAGCCACGGGGCAGGACTTACCGTAGCCAGGAAAGAGACGCCCGGGATGGCCCAGCCTCCCCTGCCTCTCCCGGGATTACAGCCAGAGGCGGCTGAGCAGTCCGCAGCGGCCCATGTCCAAAGCGAAATTCAAGCAGCCCGTTTGGGACGAGAAGCGAAGCGAGACTCGACAGCCGCCGCCGAGTTATGAAAATGAGCCCCGCATCAAAAAAGCGTCCATTTTGCTACTGAGCATGTGCACGCTCCTTGAGAGGTTGTGAGGGAGCATGTGCGAGCCTGTTGCGCATGTGCGGTGGCGATGTGGCGTCTGCCCTTGCTCGTTTCTGCCCTCGTCGCTTTACTGCCTTTAAGCTGTTTACATCGACGAGCCGGCGACGGCTACGCTCCCGCGCGCACCTCGCCTTTTTCGGCCGTTGGCGTTTTTATCTTGAACCCATAAAACTGGAATATTATCCCAGTACTAGCGCAGAAGTTCTGCCAGGACGATTCATTCCTAGAATTGTTAATTGGCTGTGGATCGAGCGCTTTTTGCTAACATAAAGCCTTCCGACAAAATTAAGACGTTCGTATCCCTTTGCTGCATGATACGAAGGTGGCAGGGGAGATATTCCGATATTCCTATCTACCCACTGGAACACTTGCTCTGTCCTGATTGAATCCGCTCAGTGCAGTAAAGCATAATGTAGTTTTCTTGAATGTCTGGAAGAAAGAAGTTGGGTCCATCTAATCCTCATTTGTCTTAATTGTTTTTACATGAGATCAGTCTCCACAGAATCATATCCATCTTCACAGTCATGGATCTGATGTTTTCTTGATACCACCACTTTGTCAAAAGAAGAGAGCCAGTGTGGTGTAGGATGAAGATATGTGACTAGGAACAGGAAGATCCAGAATCTAGTCCACCCTCAGCCACAGAAGTTGGGTGACTGTGGGTGGACCAGTCACTCTCTCAGCCCACCCTACCTCACAGGATCGTTGTAGAGAAAAATAGAAGGGGACAGTATGTACACCACCATGAGGTTCTGTACAAAAGATGGGAAATAAATCTAATAAATGAATAAAATGTGGATCCAAAGCACATCCAATCTTCATGGGTTCCCTGGACTTTTTTTTTTTAAACCATGCAACCACCTGAAACCAGTATCACAACCCAAATTACATCCATCTGCACAAAAGGGACCATAAGAAGCACAGATCTGACAATTGTAACTACATAAGGCAAAAAAGATGTGGAAAAGGTGGTCCAAGATATAGACTCTTACAAAATCTTCATGCTTTTAGCTGAAACTGCCATTAAAATGTAGTATCCCCTCCATCTTCACAGAGCCATTGATCATGGATCAGTCAACCAATAATGTACCTTCAAGTATCTTCAACCATTTTCAGTAATACTATCTTTTGAACCATGTTATCTGAATATCACTGGAGCTACTTCAATCTATGCCCTACATCCCATTATTGAGAGGTGCTCCAAATGAATGTAACTGAGGCTATAATGGTCTGCAATATCTGGGGGAATCAGAAGACCACATTCTTCTAACCGTTCCACTGGCATACATCACTGACTAACACTATAATAAGTTCTGCAGATCCAGTTGGATTCTCATAAAAACATAAGGATCCACACCTTGTATTTCCATTTTTGTACCAGGATGATGCCTGATCCAACACAGGGAGGGCTCTAACCTGATTTTGCTCCATTGTCCTCTTCAGAAATGTCAGCCTTTCCTAAATTGTTGGCCATCTTGGCTGGAAATCTAGAGGGGATAAGACTGGGGAAACCTGGATTACATCAATGCATTTTCAAACAACAATGCATTGTTCTAGTTTACATCCTTAAAAACATGCCAATTGAATTGCCAAGAAGGGAAATTCAACTAAGTTGCCTTCAAGGAAAAAATACAAAGATTGACTTAACTGGTTTTAAAAATGGACTTGGGTTGATGTGTGATCTCTCACAAAAAGCATTGCTACTAAGTGGCTGTGTATATGAACTCGTGATAAAAAATGCCACGTTTTGTGCTGACCCATAAAATAATTTTTCAGCCTTTGCTTTACATTCTTCTCTGTATGGTCTATTCTCCCTTTATACGAAGTTCTCCCCTAATGTGGGATGTTCCATGGAGTTTATCAGTTTCACTTTATTTGTAAGTAAAAACTAAAATATTATAAAACACTATATTGACCTCCAGTGATCTCCTTCCGAAGAAAACTGATTTTAATTTTTGCCAATATGTACAGTACTTATTTAGCTCTTTGGACATGCCTTCACCAATTTTTTTCCTGAAATGGGAATTAGTACCAGCCAAAACTAGATTTTACAGAACATTTTCACCTCAAGTGATCCTGATTTTGGCTTTTCTATTAAACCATCATTAATAATAAACATCTGGTCCTCTGATCACTTCTATGAGTTAAATAGGAGGCAATGGGTATAATTAAACAAAATAAGAGGAAAGGAACAATTCATTTTCTTCTGTTCTTTGTCCTGGCATAAGGATCTCAATCCACACAAGATGAAAAGATCTGGAACTCCTGAATTGTCACACATTTGTTCCTAAAGATTTTTAATCAGTTTCAAGTTGAATTGTATAATCACAATTGGGATGTAAAATATTGCAAAATGTGAACATATTTCCATTTCATATCACTTTTATCTGGTTTCTAAAGAAAGAGAGCACATATTCTGGTTCAGAAACATATGATTTCTTGTGATGACATCTGCCACATGAAATGCATTATTTGGGGCACATTTTACTTTCAGAAGTAAAAACCACACAACCCTCACTGACTCATAAAGAAATTACAGAGCTGCATATGCTGGTAAAAAAAAAAAAGGCCAATGGAGTGGAAGCTGAATGTTTCCACTTACTGCCCACAATATATGCCTACTCTCTTATTAGACTACTGATGTTTTTGCTTGAGCTTTGTCTTTAACTCCTTGATTTAGATACAAGCAACATAGCCTACAACCTGCTATACAACAGATGCCCAAAGTTAATGTATGATAGTTTTTAAATCATAGGACTCTTGGTTTTCTTGGCTAGTGCTATTTGTGGGTAGTAATATTGTAGCTTCACATAAGTAATAGCAATCTAGGCTAATACTAATATGAGAACAAAAAAGAATTAAAGCTAAACGTAGTTAGTAGTTGGATAGGATATTAAGTATAGGTTAAACTGGGAAGTCAGAAGGGAAAAAGACAAAGCATGAAAATTCCTCCACCCTCACCACTAAGAGAGAGAGAGAGTACTTCACGTGCAATAATAAAGTATTGTATAAAAGCCTAAGATTTTGGATATTCACAGTGCTTTTCATAAAGGATCTCTTGGAAAGCTTTGGGCTTTTCCAATTATTTCCTACTGGCATTTGAAATACTCTCTTTTCCCTGGGTGAAGGTCTACTTGTACTATATGTACTTGAAAGAAAGATAATTCTTTTTTCTCAAAATTATTTGTCTTTAAAATAAGCAAGTCATCTCAAATTAGTTGAAAATATGGTCATGGAAGTAAAAATTATTTTCATGATTCAACTTCAATTTTGTGGAAAGATCATCTTAAATGCACAGCCATTTTTAAGGAAATCCGGTAGCGTAGTAAAACTGACTTCTCACCAAGGTTAGAAAGCAACTGAAAACCTCTAAAATCTCAGGCAAGAGAATCCAAATTGGAAATGTTCAGTCCATAAAAATTTCAAATGTATTTTAACTGTTACTGAATAGTAATTCAAAATATATACAGTAGCCAGTGGTAGCTATCGTTTGTCATATTCTGAAGCATATCAATAGAAATCCTTCTATTTTAGATTCCTGAGTAGTTTATGAGGTCATAATTCCACAACCTCAAGTTGTGCATCAGTTGCAGTGGCTCCTGGAGTGGGAAGACCTGCTCAGTCATGCCCTGTGGCCTCCAGAGTGGACTATTGCAATGTGCTCTTCATGGGTACTTGAAGAGTATTCAGAAGCTTCAACTGATGCAGAATGTGGCAGCACTGTAATGGCACTGGTTACTTGGCACATGCAACACCACTGCCCCATGACCTGCCTTGGCTTCCAGTGTGCTTCTGGGTGCAATTCAAGGTGCTGGTTGTCACCTTTAAAGCCCTCCATGGATTGGGACCAGGTTACTTATGGGACCATCTCTTCCCAATTGTCTTTTCCCATCCTATCTGATCTAGTAGGAGGGACATGCTCCAGGTACCTTTGGTAAAGGAGTGTCAGCAGGCGGTGCCCAAAAGGACAGCCTTTTTTGCTGTGGCTCTTGCCCTTTGGAACATCATCCCCCCTGAGATTAGATTGGCCCCATCCCTGCATGCCTTCTCAAAGCCCTTGAAAACTTGGTTTTGTGCCCAAGTCTCAGACCCTGGGTGTGTGTCAGAGCCCACCTCCTAGCTGTGTTGATAAATGTTTGGATGATGCCCTACTGCTATGTGTTTTATTTTTATATTCTGTATTTTATTTATTTTATTGTAAGCTATCTAGAGTCACATATGTGCGATGGGCATCTATATACATTGAAATTATTATTATGGTTGGTTGCATAGTCAGCCAGATGTTTAGACTGTATTTGGCATTTTTATTCATCTATCGAGTCCTTCCCAAGGACCTGGGATAGGTAGATGTTGTTGTTTAATAATATTAAAGGTATTGTTGCAAAATGTAAGCTATTCCAAGTCAAGCTGCCTTTTGCAATTGACTGATGTGATTTTGTCAATGCCGATGGCGTTCAAGTGGTGCTCCAGGTTTTTTGGGATTGTATACAAGGCACCTATTACTATTGGTACTATCTTTGCTTTCTTTTGCCACAGTCATTCTACTTCT